TTTTTTGTTTCCGGTACCGGGAATTGAACTCACAACCTTGCGCTTGCCAGGCAGGCGCTGTGCGGCTGAGCTAAATCCCCAGCCCCAAAATCTATTCTTTTAGTAATTTGGAAACTCACGTAATTACTTATTATATTCACCACAGTCATCAGAATCACTAGAGCTTGCTCCTCCAGTCTACATGGAACTCTGCACCCTTTGATCAACATCACCCCTTCCTCATCCTCCGGCCCTGGGAACCCCTGTTGTCCCCATCTCCATGCGCTTCCTGTCTGATTCCACATGGGAGTAGGGTCCTGCAGCGTCTGCGTTTCTATGCTGGTTTATCTCACTCAGCACAAGGTCCTCCAGGTTCATGCATGCTGCTGCAAATAGAGGCACTGGAAAGACGCTTTGACCAAGGTCTGATATAAAGCTTAGACTCAGGAGTCACTGGGCATAGAAATAATGAACTTCAAATGACAGACATGGAGGTGACTCAGGAGAACTGTGAGTAGGTGCTGTGTGAAATGAGAAGACAGCTGAAGTCAGCACCTTGAGCAACACTAACATTCAATGCTTGGGAGTCAGTTAAAGAACTAGAGAATGCTGGGCGCGGTGGTGCACGCCTGGTCTGTCAACCCAGCACTCGGAGGCTGAGGCAGGAGGATCGTTGTGAGTTCGAGGCCAGCCTGGGCTACAAAGTGAGCTCAAGGCCAGCCTGAACTGCATAGCGAGACCCTGCCTCAAAAAGACAAAAAACAAAACAAAACAAAAACTAGACAATGGAGTGGTTTGGAAGATAAAGGGAACGAAGAGGGAAGACAAATTTTATAGAGTAATTAATGCCCCTGATAAGCCAAGAAAAGTACAAATTTCCGGAGCTGGGGGTGGTGCCACATGCCTGTAATTCCAGCACTCAGGAGGCTGAGGCAGAAAGCTCACTGTGAGTTTAAGGCCAGCCTCGGCTACACAGTGAATTCTAGACCAGCCTGAACCGCATCGTGACACCCTGTCTTGAAAAACAAAACAAACCCAAATTTCAGTTTCTTCATCTTTAGTAGTGGATGCTTATAACCCCAGCACTCAGAAGGCTGAGGCAGGAAGATCCCAGTGGGGTTGAGGCCAGCCTGGGCTCCACAGTGAGTTCAAAGCCAGTCTGACCTACATAGTAAGACCCTACTTCCTTCCCCACAAAGGTTTATGTGGATTGGGAGAAGCTGAAGCCAGGCTGCCTGGCTTGGTTAGGGAATGCAGAGAAAGAGGAAATACATGCAGCAAGAGTTGCTATTTCAAGAAGTTTGGCTCTTCAATGCTATAAAATAGGCTAGTAAGTAATGGGATGTAAGGAAGCGTTTTTTTTTTTTTTTTTTTGGTTGTTTTGGACAGGAGAGACATGGGCTTGTTTATATGGTGAAGAGGAAGACGATGAAAGACTTTTTCCTTTTGCTTTTTGTTTTTTTGAAGCAGTCTTGCTATGTAGCTCAAGCTGGCCTCAAACTCGTGACACTCCTCCTGCCTCAGCCTTCTGAGTGCTGAGATTACAGGTGCGCACCACCACACCCAGTGCACAAGCGGAAAACTTTGGAAAGAAGGTATAATTGATGAGACAAAGTCTCAGAAGAGATTGAAGAAGGTGATTTATGTGTATGCGCTGCGAAAGCAAGCACAGAAGATGATTTACGTAAGGTGATGGGGCAGGAAACATCAAGGGAAGAAAAGTAACCAGTGAAATTACAGATTGGTTTGCATAGGGGCGAGGAGATATAGAGGGTGAGATGAGGGAAGTAACACCTTTTACTTGTTCAGTGAAAATGAGGTTCAGTAAATGACATTACCTGTGTATCAAGTTCTACCAGAAAAATGGAACCAGCAGGAGATATACATATACATACACATAAATGGATCTCTTGTGTTAATAAAAAGCATAGGAGATCATTGTTTTGGACTAAATTCCTTCTCTGAGCCCAAACAGATCAGACTAAAACTGAAAATTTCTTCTAACGGTCTACATCACCAAACAAACTAGGCTTCCAAGAAATCAGGAGAAATAACAACCAGATTTCCCAACCTGGCCAGTTCCAGCTGGCAGGATAATGAATTTCATTACATAAAGGTAACCTAAAGTAACTTGGTGTTAATGATCCAATTGTTTTCCTATTTTTCCATCTCCCTTGTGACCATCTTGCACAGCGAGGAAATGAACTTAGAAATGACCAATTTGCTCTTCTGTGTCTGCTTTCTTTGGCCTTTCCTCTACATAAAAGCAACCTCTTTTTTTTCCCCTCAACCTCTTCTGGCTTGTGGTGTTTTTTTTTTTTTTTTTTTTTTTTTTTTTTTTTTTTTTGTCTTTTTGAGACAGGGTCTCGCTATGGAGTTCAGACTGGCCTTGAGCTCACTTTGTAGCCCAGGCTGGTCTCGAACTCGCAAAGATCCTCCTGCCTCAGCCTCCCTAATGCTGGGATTACAGGTGTGCGCGAACATGTCCAGCTCCCCCAACCTCTTCTGTTGAACACTCATTCTGCTTCATGGAATGAAGCGTTGCTCGATTCTAGAGTCGCAAATAAAGCCAAACATTTAAATATTTTAATGTTGCCCTTGAGGCAGGTGGAACAATGTTTAAACCAGGGCTCTACCAGGACCTCAAAGATAGAAGGATCGGTCCTGGCTAGGCTTCCAGAAGGGACAGAGAACTACTTCGCAGACAGGTGAACCCCTAAGGACAGACTATGGGAGAGGTTGACTAAGCAACAGTTCAAGAAGGCCTTTAACGCTCACCCCGAGGTGATGACCGCGAAATTACAAAGGAAGGAACCAAGGGCTGATCTCCTCGCTCGGATGTGCGACGCAGGGAACCATGCCGTGGTCCTGTGATCAGCAAGAGGTGAGTGCAGCGCCACGGTTCCCTACCTCGCCAGTGTGGCCCAGATCTATAGAACGCGCAGGCGTCGCAGCGCCGCTGGCTCGCGACGAAATCCCGCGATCCCAAAGCGACCCCGGCCCCACAGGCAAGCGAAACAGCTTATGAGGCAAGAAACTGCAGAAAGCGAAGATCAGCCGGGCGTGGTGGCGCACACCTGTAATCCCAGCACTCGGGAGGCCGAGGCAGGAGGATCGTTGCAAGTTCAAGGCCAGCCTGGGCTACAAAGTGAGCTTAGAGCCAGCCTGAGCTGCATAGCGAGACCGTGTCTCAAAAAGACAAAAAAAGAAAAAAGAAAAAAGAAAACGAAGATCACTTCCAGTAGTTCACAATAATCTCACCTCCAGGCAGCATCTTATTTATTCAATCACCTTTCCACCGCTAACGTAGCGAAAACTATATTCACCGCAGGGAAATTTCTGTACGAATTGATCGAGTGCCTTGGGAGGCGGGGGAAAGAGGTGAAAAGTTGACACGCAAACCTACATCTGGAAACTGGAAAGTCTGAAGACGTAGTGAGTGTGGATCCGTCCGGCCCTCAGCAATTCCCACGACTGAAGCGGTAGCCAGTGCGGCGGGCTTCCGGGTTTTCCTTTAAGCGCAGGCACACTTTAACGGCTGCGCGACCAACGTGCGTACGCATGCGTCTTCCGCAAGGGGAGAAAAAAATTTAGCCTGCCGGACCCGGAAGCGAGCCCTAGCAGGCGGGATAGCTTCCGGCGCCGCGTAGCCGTGATTGGTGGAGCGTTGAAGGAGGCGGGGCCCCGGCAATTTGAATGTGAGAAGCGGGCCCAAAGGAAGGAGCGGAATGGAAGCGGGGGCCTCGGCGCCGCTGAAGACACGCCAGATGGCGACGGCCACCTCAGGTACTCGGGTCGTGCCAGGACGCGGCGGGGCACCGAAGTCTGGAGCTTCATGGGGTAAAGCGTCCAAGTTTGACATGGGCCCTACGGGCTGTCCGGGAGTCTAGAATGGCGCGGGGCTGGGAGGGGAAGTCGGGATGTGGTGGCGCGCGAGCGGGTCAAGCCTCTTCCCGCTCTGTTTCCTGCCCTCCGCTCGGGTGCACAGAGCCAGCTCCGGAGCTGGTTCGAGCCCGACGCACTTCTGAGGTTCAGTGTCTTCGTCTGTAAAGCAGGGGCAGTGACCTCGTGTATGGAAACTGCTTGAGTAATAAAAAAGTGGCTGGCGCTCTGGTTGTAGGAACGGGGAGAGAGAGGGCAGCAGGCGGGGGCGGTCCGGGTTGGACTTGGTGTTTGGGTGCGGAGGTGCAGGAAGACCGCGCCGAGGTTCAGACGGGCGGCAGCGGCGTGTGAGCTGGCAGCGTGAAGTGCACTGGGATCACAGACAAGGGGGATAAAGGGCCGATTCCTTTCCCTCCAGCCGTGGAGGGTTGAAAAGGCTGTTAGGACGTTCAGAACCCTCTATTTGAATATTTGTCTACATGTACCTCGCTTCCTGTAGACTGATATTTGGCCAGTGATTACGGTGGGCACTGTACCAATTTGCTTGCACACCTTACTGTTGGTCGGGTCTCGGGGGAGACAAAGGCATGTAGGAGAATGCTTAACACATGGTGAGCACTTGCCACTCATTGCCAGGGACAGTTGTATTTATTTTAGGATGATGAACGTAATGCCTCAAGGTGGTTACTGTTTGTGGTCCTTGCTTTTGTTTTTGTGTCTGTGTTTTTGAGACAGGGTCTCACTATGTAGTCCAGACTCGCTTTAAACTCTGGATCTTCCTGCCTCAGCCTCCTAGGTGCTGGGATTACAGGCGTGCAACATACCCAACTGTTGTCTTTGTTTTTGACTTAAGGAAACTAAGGCGTAAATAGCTTAAAGACCTTGCTCAGAATTAACCCGACTAGTAAATATTGGTGCCTCAATTCACACCCAAGCAGTTGGGTTCCAGAACCCCTGCCGTGACCATTATGCTCAAGTACATGCTGTTTCTGTATGAGCATAACCTTTCTTCACTTCTAAGACTGACTGTGTCTGGTACATAGTAGATATTTAAAGGGCCTTACAGTCAACATAAACAGCTGCAATATGATGAAACACAATGAGAGAGAAGTATAAAAAGTATGGAGGGCTGGGGATATAGCTCAGGGGCATAAGTGCCTGTCTGGCAAGCACAAGGTCCTGAGTTCTATTCCGAGAACTAAAACCAAAAAAAGTATGGAGAACTGCATAGCAAGACCCTGTCTCAAAAAGACCAAAAAAAAAAAAAAAAAAAAAAAAAAAATTATGGAATGTGAAATCTTTCGGTATTCTGGGAGGAAGGTTATACTTGAAGTATAGGTTAGTTAGGAGTTTGCTAGACCTTGAATGGAAGAAAAGAACACATTATTCATGATGTAAAGACTAAAGAATACTCTCTTGGCTTCACAAAAGAAAGAATTAAGTTGAATAAAATTTGAGAATTATGAGAATGGGAAAATGAAAAAAAAAAGTGCTAGCATTGTTCCACCTCATGGTTGCTTTTGTGATGAAAGAGATTCTTGTCTGTGTGTCTCTCCTCTCCTTACCTGGACTCGGAGCTCTGGGGCAGGAGTAGTGGCCAGCCGCTTTTGTGATGAAATGGGAAATGAACAACAATGTTATGTTATTTCATTTATTAAATCTTAATTTATTTAACAAGTACTTCCTGAGGGTCTACTCTGTGATGCTTACTTGGGAATAGAAAGATGACAGAGTAAAATCTGCTCTTGTAGGTTTTGCTCATAGCCAGGTGGAAGGGACAACAAACATACAATTACAATGAAGATGAAGGTGATGAGTGCTTGAATGGAAGAGACTAAGAACGCTATGGGTGTACTTAACAGATCCTAAGTAAGATAGTGATGTCTGTTAGGGAAGGTTTTTTTTTTTCTGGTACAGGGAATTGAACTCAGGACCATGCGCTTACCAAGCAGGCGCTGTGCCACTGAGCTATATCCCTGGCCCAGGAAGGGATTTTTTTTTCCATAAAGAAGAATTAAGACTTTTTTTAAAAAAGCAGGGTCTTTTAGTTTAGGCTGGCCTTGAACTCACTTTGTAGCCCAAGCTGGCCTCAAACCTGTGGCAATTCTCCTGCCTCAGCCTCCCAAGGGCTGGGGTTACAGGTGTATACCATCACAACCAGCCATAATTCTTTTGAGGTAAAGAATTAAGATTGAATTGTTTACCTCAATCAGTTAGGAGCTGGGGGCATTGGTAAAGAAGAGAATAGCATGTCTGAAGGCCCACAGGTATGTGGGAACTTGGTATTTTGTAGGAACTGAAGGAAATGTAGTATGGCTGAGAACTCACAGTGCAAAGAATGGAGCAGAAAAGAGAATGATTGGAGAGGAGTGAGACTGGCATGGGGAGCAGTTGGGAAGCTGCTGAGATGATGACAGTATTGGGCAAAGGTAATGAGTGGGGATGGAGAGAAGTAGATTCAAGAAAGACATGTTTAAAAGGACAGAACTGACAGATATTAATAATGAACAATTGTGGAAGTAAGAGGTGGAGTTCAGGATTTCCCTCTCTGGGGTGGGTGTTCCTCATGTAAGTTAAAGAGCAAAGGAAGGGGAGGAGAGATGGGAAAGGATACCGTGTAGGACAAGTGGGGTATGAAGTACCTGAGAACCATCTGTGCATTTTCTTGTAAATAATCCCCAGTTAAGATCATCAGCCATGCCTGTAATCCCATCCCCGGGAGGCTGAGGCGAGGTCAAGGCCAGCCTAAACTGCATAGCGAAACCCTGTCTCAAAAAGACAAAAAAGACAAAAAAAAAAAAAAAAAAAAAAAAAAAAAAAAAGATCATCAGGTAGATGTATGTGCAATGCAAAACATGATGGACGTATTGAATTAATAAAATAATATCAATATATAAATGTGACTAAATATTGACAATACTCACAATAAATGATAACATAAATTATAATTAAGTACTCGTAAATACTCAAGTGGCACTTTGGACAAGAGGTAAACACCTTTGTAAACAGAAGAACTCAAGATTTATTGCTGGGCTGGGGAAATAGCTTAGTGGTATAAGCTCCTGCCTGACAGTTACAAGGTCCTGAATTTGATTCCCGGTACCAAAAAAAACCACTTATTGCTGAGTGGGCCAGTGAATGACATGCACCCTCGATAATGGTTTGTGTTTGGATGTCACCCCAAAGACACAGCCTTTGCAGTCATGGGGCTGGCTTTTAGAGTTTATGATTGATTCATGGTCCAATGTTGGAATTATGAATGTGAGTGCTACCCTGGGGCGATAGTTTGCATTACAATGTAACCGAGGGGAAAGAGCATACTTGCCGCTCTGCCCCTTTTGCTCTTGCTGCTTTTGCTATCTTCTGGTGCCATGAACAGTTGCCCTCTGCCATGTGCCACCCTGCCTTGGAGCCAGCTGAGTATGGACTGAAACCTCCACAGACTGTGAGCTAAATAAACCTTTCCTTCCTTAATTTTGGGTGTCAGGTATTTTGTCTCAGCAACAAGACAAAAATAACGAAGACAGAAGGGATATGGTTGTGTCTAATATGACTACTCATAATTCACTATATTGTGTGTTGTTATGGACATGCTTAATGCCCTTCTGTGAAATAAATGTTTTCTGAATTTTGGTGCCTGCACTTTTTTTTTTTTTCTGGTACCGGGAATTGAACTCACGACCTCGTGCTTGCCAGGCAGACGCTGTGCCGCTAAGCTAAATCCCCAGCCCAGAGCCTGCAATTTTTCATCATTTTTGTGTGGACCATCATTCTTTTTTTGTTTGTTTTTTGAGACAGGGTCTAACTATATAGTTCAGGCTGACTTTAAACTCACTATGTAGTCCAGGCTGGCCTCCAACTCATGGCCATCTTCCTGCCTCAGCCTCCCAAGTGCTGGATGACAGGCATGCGCCACCATGCCTGGCCTTTGTATTTGAATAAAATGTAGATTGTTTTACATGAATAGATGTAGATTGTTGCACATGAAAAATAAGACATCCCCTGAAAATAAGCCCTACTGTGTCTTTTGGAGCAAAAATTAATATAAGAGTAAGTCTTATTTTGAGGGCAGTATGGTAAGTGGTGATGTCTAGGCAGCAGCTTGGAATGTGGATCTGCAGTTCAGAAGAGAGCTCTGGTGTGGAGGTTACAGGTCATCAGCTTTAAGAGGATATTTAAAGTTAAAAGAGCAGCTAAATGTGTCCATGAGTGGTTTCAACAGGAGGGCACTTTTGTGTCCCACTGATCATTTGCAGATGTCTGGAGACTTATTTGCTTGTGGCAACTTGAGAGTGGAGATAACGAATGTTACTGGGATCTGACAGATTAAGGGCTGAATGGCCAACAAGACACAGGACAGTCTTACAATAAAGAATCATTGAACCCAAAATATGGACAGTGTGGAAACAGTAATCCTGACCCAGAGAGAGAATAGGAGGAGCATGGGAAAAACATTCAAGAAACTGAGGAGTGAACAGTAAGACAAACCAGGAGAAGGGGTAGCATGGAAACTAAGGGAATACTGTGTATCCCAAAAGTGTTGATACCTTGGGGAAATAAGACAGGATTGGGACTGAGTTTGTCTACGGGATCTAGTAGTAGTAGACAAATCATGGCGACCTGCTGCACAGCAAGGGCAGAAGAAAGTTGCAGGGGATGAGGTGTGAGTAGCAAGAGAAAAAGTATAATAATCATAACAACATAACAACATAACAACATTTACTGCTAGGCCCTGAGGTAAGTATTGGATGTACGTTATTACTTTGAATCTTTTTTTTTTTTTTTTAGTTTTTTTCTGGTACCAGAAATTGAACTCATGACCTTGCGCTTGCCAGGCAGGCACTATGCCCCTGAGCTAAATCCCTAGCCCCTTACTTTGAACTTTGAATCTTATAAGGATAAATACTGTCTTTTTTTTTTTTTTTTTTTTTTAAATGAGACCAGGGGTTTCCCTATGT